TTATTCAATATTAGAATAGCAGTAATATTTTTTATTTTCTTTTTAAATCTATTAAATAGAGATAATTTAAATATTTAATAGAGTTTTTATTTCTATTTTATCTTTTTATAATCTATCTTTTAGATAATTAAGAATTTATAGTATATAAAATATATAATATCTATAATAATCTATTTAACTGTTGCACAATTGTTATATATTAATTATAAACTAATTTACAGTTATTACTCTAATTGTTATAATTTACTCTATTTTAGTCTACAGTTAACTGCGGTTAAGAAATTCTACATCTTAACCTAACCGCCATAACCTTGGAAACACCAGGGATCCCGGTATCTCAACCAAATGAGCCTACTAATCGGTTCCCTATATTCTCATTTAGGTGTTCTCCTGTCCAAAGGATTCAGGGATTGAATCGATTGTCAGATACTTCACACTGCCAAGTCGGGCGGATTATGGTGTTTTCGTAAGATTATGTCTGCAACTTGCGGCGCGAAGTTTGGTGGTGGAACGAAACACGAATGCAAGAATTCTTAAACATGACGGATTCTTTGAGTATATAACGGCTGACAAAAGTAAACGCAAGAGAAGATAGACTATCCAACAATAGAAACAACCTTACTCCTTGAATACTCCATCATCTGCTCCAGAATATCCAAATACGCCGCTGTCACCCCATCAAACTGCTCTTCCCCAAACATCCGTTGATCATACTTCCATTTCAGACTATAACCTGTAGCTGTCTTCGACACCTCCAAATGCACCGCATAGTCAATTGGCATCCGAACCTTACTCAGCGCCATCACCATCCACCGCATATGCTTGTCGACCATATTGGTGGTAGGTGGCGGCGCCTCAAAAGGCTGAAACAGAAAAAGTGCTTGAGACGCCGCATCGTCTCGCTTCCTGCCCAGGGCATTGTAGATATCAGTCAGGCTGACGTTGCCGTTCTCGGTTGTCTTCCAGAATAGGGACTGGGTGGATTTCAGTAGATCGCGGATGAGGGTGTCGGGGGAGAATGTACTCCGGAAGGGGAGGAAGTTGGCGCAAGTCCCGGCGATAGTTTGGGCTTCGGAGATGTCGACATTGCGGCCAGTGATTAGATTGTCATACGTGACATCCTTTCGACCGGAGAGGCGGGCGAGGAGCAGCGCGAAGGCGGTTTGGAAGACGATTGGAACGGTCACGCCCACGGAGGCGGCAAAGGAGTCGACACGACGGTCGGTTGTTTTGAGCGTCAGGGCTGAGGCGATGGAGTGGGTGGCACTGGGGAACGGGGCGGGAGCATTGGCTAGCAGGGATGTCCAGAATTCGAGGTTTTTCGACTTGTCCGTGGCCTGAATATAAGAGACGTAGTCGCGGAAGGGGACAGTGTCCGGAGTCGGCTGGTTCTTGGCGAGGGCTTTAAATTCGTCATCAAAGATCCGGAGGAGAGTGCCATCATACATGGCGTGGTGGATTTTGAGGAGAAGGTCGCGGGTGCCGTCTGGCAGGATCAGGAGACGGTACCGGATGAAGGGTGTGCCGAGGGTAAATTCGGCGTCCCAGGCGGCATTTATGTGTTGCTGCTTGTCGGCTTCTGAGGTGCAGTGAATGATCTTCAGGTCGAGGACGGGGTTGGCGAGGACGACCTGCAGCCAGCGCCCGTCTACCTCCAGCCACATGGATCGCAGGATTTCGTTTCTTGCTGTCAGCCGGGTGGTGACTTCGATCCAGTGGTTGAAGTCGATTACCTCGGGCAGTGGTCGGACGGTCTGGCATTGCCAGAATTGCTCGGCTTGGGCGCCACGAACGAGGAAGTCTTCCACTCCTGGGGGGGGCGGGTAGACGACTTCGACATCGGATGGTTGGACTCCAGCAGTCGAGAGTATCGCGTACACCTCATCCGAGACGGGGACAGACACATCGTCTACCTTTGGCACGGCTGTCTTCACGGGCCTCATGCGAGTCGCCATCTCCTGTAAGAGAGGGAATGCAAGCACGTCACTGACGGTAAGCACATGGCCCGCCGCCTTGCACTTGCCGACGAGATTGATGGCCGTGATAGAGTCGCCACCATGGGCGAAGAAGGTACTCGTGCTGCTGATCTCACTGGTCTCCTTGTGGAACAGAAAAGCCCATAGGCTCTGTAGCGCCATCTCCTCTGGCGTGACCGGGTCCACGAACTCGGCCTCGGCGTCGATATTACTATACTGCTGCAATTCGTTGCTATCCATGGCATTCACCCATTCCACAAGCTTCTTCCGATTTGCCTTCCCCGAGGGAAGCAGGGGCAAGGTGCCGACTGGAATCCAGATGGTCGGAACCATGTACGGAGGCAACGAGGTCAGACTGATGCTGACCGTCGTGAGTGTCTCGAAGGTGTCCTCGGCTGGCAGAATTCCATTGGGGTTTCCGGGGTCGACCACACAAAAGGCCACCAGCTGCGGTCTCTTCTGGATCTCGACGACGCTGGCAATCGCATGCTGGACTTTATTGGTCTTTAAGATCGCCCCCTCAATCTCACCCAGCTCGATGCGGTGTCCGTGGATTTTGACCTGGTTATCTTTCCTCCCGAAGCATTCAACGCGGCTGTTGGGGAGCCACCGGGCGAGATCACCGGTTCGATAGACTCGCTCAGAGCCTCGGAGGACGAATGCCTTCTTCGTCGCCTCGGGCCGGTTCAGGTATCCGCGCGCCAGCTGCGTCCCACTGAGACAAAGCTCGCCGACGGCACCGTAGGGCGCCAGTCTCAGGCTATCGTGCTCGAGAATCATCGAGACACAATTCCGAAGCGGATGGCCGATCACCTTGGCGTTGCCGCCAGGCGGGATGTAGCCTGCGTTTGCGAGAATCGAGGCCTCCGTGGGTCCGTAACAGTTCATGACGACGCAGTGCGGCGCCCAGCTGTCGACGAGATCAGGAGTCACCGGTTCTCCGGCCAGATAGATCCCGTGCACGCCCGGTACGTCGGCAGGCTGGAGGAGCTTAGCCACGGTGGGAGTCAGGAAGAGCCGGTTCACCTTCATCGAGTTGATGACCAGGGCCAGATCGGAGAGGAGGGACTCCATGGGAGCCATGCAGAGGGTTGCGCCCGCACCGAGGGTGCAGAAGATATCCCCCACCGAGACGTCGAAGACGTAGTTGGAGAATTGCAGCACACGCCACTCCCGATGCCAGCTCTCGGCGAGAGAAATACTTTCAATCCCCGCCGCTATGGAGCGATGCGGAACCAGCACCCCCTTGGGCAACCCGGTAGAGCCGGAGGTGTAGATGGCGTATGCCAGGTGATGGGGTTGCAGGTCTGGAAGCTCCAGGTTGCCGTCGCAGTACTCAGAGACGTCGACATTGTACACATCCACCACCTCGACCGCGCGATCGGCCTCGTCGAAGATTCCGCGCAAGTTCTCGTCCGTAAGAACCATCGTGGCGGACACGTCGCTGACGATAAAGTTGTTTCGCTCGGGGGGATTATCCGGATCCAGCGGGACAAACCCGCCCCCGGCCTTGAGGATGGCCAGGATCGAGGCAATCATCTCAACAGACTTGGGAAGGCAGAGAGGGACCAAAGTGTCTGGGCCTACTCCTTTCTGGACCAAGTATCGTGCCAGCTGGTTGGCATGGCTGTTCAATGCACGATAACTGACGACCTCGGTCTTTTCAAACTCAATTGCGACGCGATCGCCATCGGTCGCTGCAATAGCCTCAAAGCCATCGTGCAGGAACCTCGCGTCCGTGGTGGCCGGCATCGACATGTGCTGAAGATATAGCGCCTCTGAGGGTGTAATCAAATCCACCTCCCCCAACTGGGTCTGCCTGTTGTCCACCATCGTCCGCAGCAACTGCGCCACTTCCTCAATGATAAAGCCCGTTCGAACAGGCTCCAGATACCCGGACAGCCGCAGTTCAAACTCCCCATCGGCCTTCTCCTCTACCTCAAGGCTGTTGAACCCAGTATCCCAGATGGGTCGTTCGCCGTATGGCTCCAATTCCGTGGCGCCGGGGCTTGCATCGGTCTTCACGAGGAAGTTAACCATGGAATCAAAGAGACTCGAACTTTGGGCCGCTGCTGTCAGTGCTCGTCTGAGTCCAATCTGCGAGAATTTAGCTACTTTCCACAACTCGTTCTGCACTAACGTCACGACGTCTCCAAGGCCCATAGTGGGCTCCAGGCGAACCCGAATAGGGACAGTGGTCATGGTCGGTCCATTCAGATCCTGGATCCCCGGGATCGGAGCATCGCGCCCCGACAGCGTGATGGCAAAGGTAATGTCGGCGCTTCCCGTGTGCTTCCAGAGAATAATTGACCAAGCAGCGTACATAAGCGCACCGGTCGTGACACCTGCAGAGGCGGTAAACGTGCGAAGGTCATACTGGATGGTTCGCTTGAGAGCATTGAACGGCGCAGTTTCCGTTGTGAGCAGCGTTGCAGCAGCGTTCTGAAGGTACCCGGACCAGAAGTCTGCGGCAACGTTCTCATCCAATCGCTGGGAATGACGGACGAAGATGTTGAAGGGGGGTCGGACCGCTACAGACTGATTGTGGTAGACAGCTGCTGCATCTTGGAAGAGGAATTTGGAGGACCAGAAGTCAAAGAGGGCGTGGTGCATGGTGACGATGAGGATCTCGCTGTTGACAATGGCGGCTCGGATCGGAGGCTGCCCGAGATCCATATCCTGGGATGTATTGTGCGATACGTAGTCTTCGATCGAGATGTCGCATATCATCTGCCAGGGGAGCTGGAATTGCCGGTTCACGGTCTGCAGGAAGGTTGCGCCGTTCTCGAGGAAGCTCGTTCTATAGATGGGGTTCGCGTTGATGGCTTTTTGGAAAGACTGTTGCAGCCTGGGTATCTCGTATCCCTTAATGTTGAAGACTCGGTGATACACGTATCCGCCGTTACTTCGGTGCGCGGAAATAATCCCCTCCTGGAAGGGGGTAGCGTGATATGCGTCCTCGTATATTGTTGGGTCAACGTCTGGTCTGCCCTTGATGAGGCTGTACGGGGCTGGCGGCTCTAGATCAGTTTGCGCTATTACCTCGTACTTGAGAGAGGCGGCTGCAGTGGCCAGGGAATCCGCTCGAAGAAGGTCTCCCAGTTCGGCGACATAATTAAACGGCAATAACTCGGACACGACAAGCAGCGCCTTGAGCGAATCTCCCCCGAGGTCAAGGAAAGACTGGTTGACTGTGATCACATCCACAGGAAGACGAAGGACCTTGGCCCAGACCGTCTGGAGGACCGTTTCTACCTCGGAGAGCGGCCTCCCTGCTTGGTCGGTAACCAGTGAGGCGCCGATGAGATCACGCCGTTGCATCGCCTCGATCTGTTTCCGCAGGAGAAGCACGTCGGTCTTCCCGTTGCTGTTCAGAGGCAGTGTGTCAAAAGGTAACCAGTAGGCAGGTGTCATATAGGAAGGAAGCCTGCTCAATGTCGCCTGCCGGAGGTTGTGGACCAGCTGAGCCCACGGTGATGCATTTTCCGGCGAGATACAGGCGACAAGTGCCTTCTCTCCCTCGATCGTAGCAGCGATAACCACCGCGGCACGCACAGCCTTCTCCCTACTCAGCAGGGCTGAAATCTCGCCCGGCTCGACCCGCTGGCCGTGGATTTTAGTCTGGAAGTCAATACGACCGATGATCTCAATCGTGCCATCTTCCAATCGGACCGCCATGTCACCTGTCCGGTAGAGCTGGTATCCCTTCGTAAATGGGCTATCGACAAAAGCCTTCTCGGTCAGTGCCTTCTTGTTGATATAGCCACTGGCGATCTGCGGCCCTTCGAGACACAATTCACCGGGAATCAAGAACGGGGTGAGCTGCCGCGTGTCCGGGTCCAAGATGTAGGCAGACGTGGTATCAGATGGACGGCCTACATTGCGACTGGACAGCTGATCTGTTGGGCCCATTTGTCTGCCCCAGTTTAGCTGGGTACATTCGCTGAGCCCATAGTTGTTTTTCAGCTCCACATGACTAGCCCAGCGAGCGACGATCGCGGGGTCGGCCAGTTCGCCGGTGAGGTTGACTCTCTGCAAGGTTGGCACCTGTTCGGGGTCCAGCAGAGAGATAGTCGACGACGTGATACCGAGCGTGTTGACCATCATTCCATTGACGAGATTTGCCAGGGAGAGTTGCAATTTTGACCGGCCCGCGAGACAAAGACAGCCGCCATTCGCCAGTGTGGAAAGAATGGTCCTCTGTGCAGCAGAAAAGACGGGATTGTAGAAGAGTAAGTTGCGGTTGTCTTCAATGGCAGGTGCACATTGAATCCCGGTGGAGGCAGCACGGTGGCTTAGAATAACACCCTTGGGCACGCCGGTGGAGCCAGAGGTGTAGATGATATAGGCGGGTTGCTCGGGGTCCAGATCTAGACACAGGTCGGATTCATTAGACGAGGACTGGAGGAGATCTTCCACCAGGTAGGCTTTCGTATTTGGGAGTTCATTGATGAGGTCCCCTTGTGTAAGGTAGCACGGTGCCTGCACATCTTCCATGATATACGCCTTGCGGGCTGGCGGCTGGGCGGGATCCAGAATCACATATGCGCCTCCGGCTTTCAGAATCGCAAGTAAAGCAATCACAAAGTTAACCGAGACATCCATATGAACGGGAATGATTGATCCGGGAGCCACCAACCTCGCTAGCTGATGAGAGACGCGATTGGCGGCAGCGTTCAATCCCGCGAAGCTAAGGGCCTCGCTGAGCTCAAACTGCAGCGCTGGCTCGGTGGCATGATTGCGAGCCTGCTTTTCAATCAAGGTATGGACCAGCTGGGGAGGGACCTGTTCATGTGAGGATCGAAAGCTGAGCAATACGGCTCTCTCGTCCTCTGAAGCCAGGCTCAAGCTCATGAACGGGCCGTGGGGGTTCGCGATAATCTGTCGCATTACCTCCCAAAAGTGCTGCAGGATGATCCTAGCTCGAGCCGAGGGATAGTTCGAGTCGTGCATCATGGACACCTGAGCGGTGGCAAAGTCCAACGTGACTTTCATGGAAACATCCAGTTGCGGCAGAGAGTCCACGGGAATATCTGATTCCAGCACGATGAACGTGGATTGCACGGCGGTAGTGCTGCCGCTGTGCTCCTCGATCGGTCGGCTACCGAGGAATGAGTACCGAGAGGCTGTCTTCTTTTCGCTCTCTAATCTGTGGAGAGCTTCCAGGGTCAGCTCTTCCTCCGACAGGCGAACCCGAAGAGGAGTGGCCACATCCATTGGACCGACGATGTACTCTGTTTGGTCGAAGCTGCAGTCTCTGAGATTGGTGTAAAAGGCGACATCCTGGGTCTCGAGGTGGCGGGATAGCGTCGCTGCCCACCCAGCGCGAAGCATGGTCTTCACACTGACCTGGTGCTGCTGTCCGAAGTTCTCCAGCCCAGAGAGGAGTCCCACGTCGCCCGAGACTCTGGTCTCGATGACTTTTCTGTCCGGATCCGAGGAGCCTAATAAGCCCCTGCCATGGTATCCATCCAAGTACCCATTCCAGAAGCTGATGGCCTCATTACGGTCACGGGTCCCAATGGCTTTGGCATAGTTGCTGAAGGGGATACGGGCTGGAAAGGGAAACCCGTGGAAGAAGAGTTCGAAGTCATGCCAGAGCAGTAGGATAGACTTCACGTCAATCAGAGCGCGATGGTAGTGAAGAGTCAATACCGGTCGGTTCGCGCTTGCTTCGTAAAAAGTCAAGTATGGCACTGTCTTTTCGAGTGGCTCCCAGCTTCCAAGGCCCATCGGCAACACGAGATAGACCACTTTCTGCCGCCAGGAACCTCCATCCTCGCTGGAAACAATGACCGTGCGAAGGATGGGATGATGAGCGGCCACGGCTTGCCAGGTCATACGGAGCCGGTCAATGCTAAAGGCCATCTGCTCAGGGACTTGGAAAGAGAAGGACGTCCATCCAGATTGCTGCCCCAGCGACGAGAGGATCTCCTGCTGGACCGGCGTCAAGTCAAACAGTTCGCCATCAGCCTCGGGCGTGCTTGAACCCCCATTAGAACTTGGCCGTGAATCCACTCGAGGGAAGACCTGCTGAAAAATTTCCGGCACAGTCAATGGGGGTTGATAGAGGGAAGGAAGTGGCTGATGCAACGCCATGGTTGATAAAAGAGCAATAGAATATGGAGTCTATACGACTATGTATGAACTCAACAAAGTGTAGAAGAAGGTGTCAAAGATAGATGTAGAGGATAACGACCCAGGACGTCTATACTTCAGAGCAATGAATATGTCAGTCTCGTCTTCAAGCTCATCGCCTGCTCTCGATTTCTCTGCCTCTTTCCGTGGTGCGAGGCTACTCCCCTTTATAGAGTTCTTGGGCCAGCTGGAACTCTATACATCTGACACCTTCTCTTCCAGGGATGATCTCTCTCTCCAGCGGTTTCTCCTACACATCTCCACGTCTCCCACGTTTTTGGTCCATGTTGACATCAGCCCTGCCATCACCCCTCTCCTGTGCATCGAACAAACCCGTATACGTCCGGCATCTCGACAGAGCTCGATACCGATAATGTCACACCCACTTCTGTAATGGCACAGGTATATTACAAATCAGGATGGAACACTCGTTTTCAAGGAATCTAATCCTGTAGAATGTACTACTGAGTGCTAAGGATGAAACGTAACCCCGAAGAAAGCTGGTGCGCAATGTTTTTTGTATAGATGTCGGCTGAAAGTCGCGATTCTCGTTATGATGGCGAGTGAGTTATGTGGGCCCAACGGAGCCCGACTAAGCTCCGTCGATTTGGTCTGGTCGATTTAACGTATACGAAAGATCTATGAGATGAGGGGACTGATAGGGATGCATGATTTTGATTTTGATTTCTAATGCAAAATACAGACAATTTTGGATTTGTCACGTCTGCGAGAATCGAGTTATATAAACACCCTTCCTCACCTCCCCAATTGTCTCCAACACAGCAGCAACCACAGTTCCAAGTGTCCCTTCCTCAGCCTTCTCTTCCCAGCTTTCTGCCTCCCGAGGTATCTTGATCAAATCAAACTCATCGCAATGTCTTGCACCGCCGATGCCTCCCCTGCCACTACCAACGGGAAGCAGGCCACCACGGTCTACACTTCTCTCCCCACCACCACCTACGCCAACCAGCGCGCCGTCTTCCCCTACGTGGATCCTACACAGGTGAACTCGGGCCTGGCGCAGGCCTTCAAGGTCCTCCCCTTTGAGCGCAACGTGCTCAAGCTGCTCGCCCACGCCGAAGGCTTCTTCCCTTCCATATCCAGCCTCCTGGGTACTGTCTTCCGCTCCACTCGCGAGCTCCCTACCCTCGAATGGCAGCTGGTGGTCCTGCGCACCGCAGCGCTGATCGGGGCGCACTACGTGTTCGAGATTAACACCCCAGTCGCCCTCGTCAACGGCATGCCCAACGCCAAGCGCCTCCTGATTGCCTTCGGCAAGGTCGACGACACCGAGTACTTCAGTGAACGCGATCGCATTCTCCTCCGCTTTGTCGAAGAACTGGTCCGCCACAACACCGCCAGCGACGGCACCCTCGAGGCGCTCAAGGCCCACTTCAGCATTCGGGAAATCATGGAGGTGATTGTCATTGTAGGGCTGTATACTATCTTTGGACGGGTGGCGAACGTCAGCCGGATCGATGAAGACCCTGAGATCCCGGGGCTCATGGATTCGTTGAACAGCTTGACTGGGCAGAAGGATCGGGGCGAATAGTGTGTGTCTGTTGGCATGTATGTCGAGTAGATATTGTTAGTCAGTTTCCTGGCAATTGATTTGTTGAATCTTCAAGAGCGGTCCCTTTTTAAATTAACATCTACAGGGTTTAAATGTCAAGTTACTGGCTCGAGGGCTAGGATGTAGCATTGAGCCGTTGTGGATGAGACAGTCAGAAAGAGTGGACTAGCCTGCGGCTAATGCACGCACCGCCGCATAAGTTTACTACGGGGTAGACCCTCCCCGACAGAGATCTGTATCAAGCTTATTGCCTATAAGAGTCGATATTATAGCCGAGTAGTCAGAGACGAAAGTCATTAAAATAGTGGTTTATTGGATTTGCAGAAGACAGATCATCAGGTCACCCGAATTAAGTGCTGGGCCTTATGTTTCCAGACTCCATACGGGGCCTGAACTCCCTGGGGAACCATAGCGTAGCGTATATCAGCTATAGTCTGTAAAGCTCCACTGTCTGTGCACCTCTGCTTCATCGGCATACCCGATAGCATCGGCAAGCTGCCGAGTACCACAACCACCTCGACTAACCGTACCAACGATTCCAAGGTCCCCTACTCTACCTCGGCCCATCCCGTCGATCAGACTAGTGTCGCCAGTGTAAACATCTCATCAAGCCGAGTTCCAATTGGTCAGTCGGAAACAACCAACTAATATTTTTACGTGCTAATTTATCGTTCGTCTGTATAGCAAAATCGAAAGCTGAGCACAGAATCTGCTGGGGTTTGACGAGTGCCGTGGATGGACGCGCCTCCTAAAAATCATAAGTGGTAGATCTGTACCTTTCAGGACAATTCAAAAACATATATAACTTCTTTAGAACCTTAGTCTGTTTCCTCCAAAATATCTCTGTATAATCTCAATTGCCTGAGACTCGAAAGCTTCATTTGTGATGTTTCCATTGGGCAAAATCGGCGGCACGTGGGACCAGGCATCCAGTGGTCAACTATGGATAGCTCGCTAGCGCTGAGAAATTAGCTGCATGCCAGGAATGAAGTGAGAACACAAGTTAACAGTTTTCTTGGGGCAAAGCTTTGCCTATGGTTGCCTCTTTTATTGCTCACGCCGTCTCATCATCCCATCATCCCGATATCCCACCATCCCATCATCCCATTGGTTGAATTGACGAGACGGATGCTTTCATTAGACCGAACTTAACTGCTGTTGGCCACCGCAGAAGGATTATTCACCTTAAGGCCTTGATGTGATGAAGAATTACATAAATTTACTAACTGCTTATTTTAATGTCAGTGGTTGTCTCCATCTCCCCCACTAGCCCCCACTGATTGCGGTATCCCATCACCCCCCATCCCATTCCATCCCATCCCACCGTTTCCCTTCCAGGCCGTGGCTTACATTGCCCTGATGGGGCCGGGCTAGCCAAGGGAGGCAATAAGCCCTAGCTCTTCGGTCATCCCACCTACTGCATGATTCCCACTAATGTCCGTGGTTAGTCAATCCTAAAGGCAGAACAAGACCTTCTCCGTTACCTGCTCTGGGGCATCCCATGATCCCATATTGCCATCCCATTGGCATCCCATCGGCATCCCACCCGCTCTCCCATCTGCGCCAATCATCAGGACAATCCCCACTCGTTCCTAACGTGACTGACATCTCGCCGTTAACTGTCAACTCGTGGGAGACTAGATTGTGGCGCTATACAGCCTTTCCATTTTCTCCGGACAAAACTAAGAAAATCGTAATTTCTTTTTCTTCCCGCCATGAGTACCCGCGCGTCGTTTCAATGTGACTTCCCGGGTTGTGGATTAAGGTATCGACGGAAGGAGCATGTCACCCGACATGCGCGACGACATTTTCAGTCGGACTCGTTTGAATGTCCGTTCTGCGATCGACGTTTTGCCCGGAAGTAAGTCTGTTCAGTTCACCAAACACGGAATTGGAATCGGAGGCTGCGAATTTGGCCATTGTCGCATGGGCCTCATGTGGACGGAACGGATGGACGTGTGAAGGAATCTAGGCAGATGAGGACCTGGATCAAGAATGGTGCTAAGTACACAATAGTGATACGCTCCGTCAACATGTCCGCACCCATCACGAGGATAAAGAGCTTCAACCAGGTCGCACCATTCGAGCGTGCAATAACTGCTGCTCGCGAAAGTCCAAATGTGACGGAAAGGCTCCGTGCGGAGCCTGTGTGCGGCGAGGAATTGATTGCTCCTTGGGATGCTCGATTCGGGGCCGCCAGGTTCAACAACCCAGTCCCGCCGTTAGTCTAAGCGCCAGACTTTTAGATGATCCCACCCATTTGGCCCCCATACACGACTTGGACGCAATTGAAAAAAGCCCCGCTAGAGCGTTAATTTATATCCAGGTGTTCTTCGAGAAGTTTCACGCCACATGGCCATTTCTGCACCGCGCCACCTTCGATCCGGACCATGAGCCCGCCCTTCTCTTTCAATCCGTCATGATGATGGGATTATGGTTGACCGGTAAAGAGGATGCCCGGATTGCAGCGACGGATCTGCACTCGAAACTCCTTGAGTCGATCCATCAACAGCGAGTGAGTTTGCCTTGGGACTTGATACCGCCACATCCCCCATTCACTCCCGCCACACCGACGCTCAGATTATGAACCCTCTTCAATCGTGCCTCGCGAACACGTACAAGCAGGCCTTCTGCAACTGCGAGCCAGACTCTAAAGTAGCCGGAGAGATCTAGTGTGCAGATGCTTGACGGCGTGTTTAAGGGTCTGGGTTGGGGCGTGGGAGGAGGGGAGTGTCGCGGTGTCAAGTCCTCTTATCTTCTTCCCTGCTTCCATATTCAGCCACTCACGAACTGTTGGCAGGATAAATGGGAAGCACCAAGCCAGCACAACGCAGATCCCCCCTCCCCCTGGCCCATGGCAACATATCAAGGGATCCTGCTCCAAATCATTTTCGCCCTCCTGAAAGGTAATCAAGGTCTCAACCTGCAGCTCACTCACGAACTGCCCACCCTCCCCTTGCGGCTCCTAAAAGCCCTCGTCCGCACCTGCCTCCAGCGCAAAATGTTCTTCTACCCCTCGATGGTCGCCCAGTTCAAAAACACCCTGCCCGACGTGTACATTTGGGTGGGGGTTGAGGAAGTCAAGCGCTTCGCCCTCTCACTGTACAAAGTCTGTCGATCCTGCCGGGTCCCTGACACCGATGCATCTTCGCAGGGCCGCAGTTTGCTCTCTCTAGCGAATTTGCAATTCGCGCTTCCTGATAGCGATGAACTCTGGCATGCGAGCTCGGACTTGGCCTCGCGGCTGGCGGAAGATCGGAGCGCGTATTGCGAGAGGAATTCAGACACGAGGTGGATTAGTCAGACGGCGAAAGTGCTACAGCCTGATGGGGGGTTTTGTTGGTTCTGATTTCTTGGTTCCGTTCTTTTTAAGGAGATGTATATAATTCATTAGCATCAGATGAAGTTAGCGAGTTGTATACTGAATCCTGTGAAATAGGGATTGGATCCCGCCACGCCTACTCTGCTCATGCCACCCCCTAAAAGGTTCCCCCTACCAGACATTCAAGTGGCTTAATAACCTGTCTACTATTCTGGGGGCTGTTTCAGGATAGTTTCTTTGGGGGGTCTGCTTAGGGTCATATCACCTGATTGAGCGATTATTTGACTAGATTCGTCTATCAATTCAGCCGATGAAAGCTTTTAATGAGGGCTATGATAAAGAAGAGGGTATGGCAGTATCCAGTCCGTCATTACAGTATATATAGTTATTAAACATAATTTTTATTCTGAGATCACCGAGATGGATCACACTTCGACAAGACATGAAATACATCAATACAACATGCAACTGTTGATTGGACAGTGGATCAAGCATATGTGTTACACCGAGATAGGCAGGTGGTTGTCTTTTAGCTTACTGTTCAAAGATAGGATAGTGGTAGAAGGCAGATTATCTTAGTAGAGTAACTGAATATACAGTAATAGCTGTGTGGTTAGCAAGATCAAGAGACGGCCATCAGTAATTATCATTACTGGGAACTGAAAATCACTAATTAATTGATAATATAGCTAATTCAAGTAGTTCTAGCACAACAGTTGATCGATTTTTACTACATGACCAAAATCTACTAGAGATGTCAGGAGGTGATAGAACGGCCTCTAGTAGGCCAGCTGTTATATAGGCAGACTAACTAGGCAGCTACTGTATCTCCAACCCCCCATTTCCCCCATTTGGCCACCGTAAAGCTTCCAGACGTTTAAAAAAGCAATTTCCTATAACTCCCGAAGCATATTCTTTGCTTCTAGCAGGTGTATATCTCTGTGTTTGTAGACACATCTCAAGGCGATATATAGAATAAAAGCTTCTTATATTACATACTTTCATTCTTCTCTAACTTTTTTAAAACTCTCCGACAGCTTCTCTAGATATAGTAGATCTTCTCTATATAACCTTTCTTGCTACAATACAAATCCGTAGGCATTGCTTTTAAAGCTAGTTCTACCGTAGAGTATATCGATATCCAGTGTGTTTAGCATGCTTTTGAAAAGGATATCGTCCTCTTCGCTTAGTGCTAAAGTAGTAAATGTGTCAAACCGTGGACTGTCGAGGTTGTAAGCAGCAGAATAGTAAAGAATAATCCAGAAATAGTTTACCATTTTAAGCATATAGTGAGGGGGTAGGTCCAAGTACACTCAACACCTGTCGCTGGATGATATTCGAAACTCCTATGCGAAGCCTCCTATTTATGAACATACTGACTCCAGGATCACCCCGACAAGATCATTGCGTGAATCCCAACGCATGATATGTTACATTACATTCCTACCCTTGCCTGCTTACCTCGCTACCCCAGTAGTAGATTACGTACATAGCAACTGCATTACAATATTTTTAAGTCTCGAGATTCTTGTTCTGTTTTACAATATAAGCTTTAATACTGTCGCATACAAAATATTAAATAGCAGGTATTAATTATAGTCTTTACAACTAGTCCATCTATACCCTCTTCCTTTGCGTAGAAACTCCTAAAGTTATAAATATTTTTATATAGTGTATTATCCAACGGTGCACTTAAGACAATGCTAATGGTAAACCTATACTTTTAATATGTGTATTTAACCTTATCTTTAGCAATGTCCTAGATTAAGATCTCGTAGGCACTATAAATATATAGCTTTGCTTTAATATGGAGACTCTATAAGCACCTGTACGGATAGACAAAGACATCAAAACAGAACTTTTAAATCCAAGAAGATTAACGATTCTTGACTAGATAGAGGTAGCCTAGTGGGCGAGCTGTCATATGGGCAGAATATCTTGGTGGCTAGAATTTCAGCAACTATGTAACGGCGGTATACTATATAGATGCCCCCAGGGTATTCGGGATCGTTGATCCCGAATTATATGACCTTTTGGCCTTGTGGAATAGGGTGCCCTGGCTCTATCCCTTACACTCTTCTATAACAGAATATTTTTTATAAGATATTTTATTAAATATAGAGACTTATTAATATTCTACAGTTAGAAAATATTATCAAAAAAATAAAATTTTGATAGAGCGGCTCAGTAAAAAAGTCAAAATCTCTATACCAGATTTATCAAGTCAGAAAAATATAGTATCTAAAAATCTATACTATATAAATCTACAAAGTAATCTTTGAATAGCTTTATTTTATATAGAAATAACAATTTTTTGATATTTTAAATAAACTCTATCGAACAAGTCATATTGAGTCTAAAACAATATTAAGCTGTAGTAGACTATCTACTGAAAGTTGGGGGGCGGTGGTGAGACGGATATATATTTTTTATTTCTGATGGCTCAATTTTGTACCTTTTGACCCATTCCAATAATATTGCAGGTTGGGGATATTCGTCAGGCTATTGTCATCTTCTTCCTTAGTACCTTCTTTCTGTTCGTATTTCTCTCCATTTCTGATCTTAACTGTTCTGTACATGACTACAGATGTCCACCGCCAATCATCTAAATTGCAAGCCCAACCACATCCTCAAAGTACGCCGTAAGTACATCCCCATGCCTCTTGGGAGAAGCAACAGACTTCAATCGTTTATGTGCTTCGCAGTCATGATCATAGAAGTTCATATCGTCCATATCGCGAAAGGTCGTCTTGACGGCCAGCGTGTAGCCTTTCGTTCGCGCGTCAGGCAGTGTGCGACCCGCTTGGACTGACACAATGTAAGGCTCTGAGTTCTATCAGCAGTATAAAGGTTAATATTTGACCTGTAGGAGCGGTGGAGAGGAGAAGATGAGTAAGCTGTACCTTCTTTGCCTCTTGAGCAAGAGTGCGATATTCGGCGAGGAGAATGTCGACGTCCTCCGGTTTGGGAATGTTGAAGAGTGTGATGCGGTGGATGGTCATGACGAATGAATTATATGATTTTGGAAGGGGAAGCAGACGAGGACGAATGGGGTCGAATATGTTGTTACTTGGATTTAAAAATGTACGATAAGTGTCTCGTAGATGTTAGCAAATGGGGAAAACAGAGTGTGATTTTATACATGCATGGACCTGACAAAAGCATTTGGGGATACCCTCGCGGGGAGAACTAGACAAGGTATCCAAAACGGAGTTAGGATATTCACGAGCCGTGTCTATCGTCTTCTTCGCTAGATAGACTGAAACAGAACCTATGGCGACACTTTTTCATCCTCCTTCCGAAAGAGACATCGTGATGGATGCAGCTTCCTTAGCTTTCCACAGCTCATTCTGCTAAAATAGTGCCCAAGAGATTCCCTTCCAACACTGGATTCGACACTGTCTTGATTCGGAGGTTGGTGACCTTTGCGCCAAGCCTTCCCGGTAGCCTAAGTATATGAAGTGGAGACGCTAAATCAGTGCTTATCATCATCCAGAACGCCAAAGACAGGATGACGGCCTAATGTCCTGCCCCGATGGGATAGCGAAATAGCTGATCTGCTTTTCCCGCTGGGATGAGGTGACCCGGGCGTTGATCCGGGAGACTCTGAAGAATACTACTTCAGGGTTACATTTATTCGCAACTAGCTCGATCTTGGTATCCCATTCGGTATCCCATTCGGTATCCCATTCGGTATCCCAGTCGGTATCCCAGTCGGTATCCCATAGCATCCCAGAATGTGGATCTGGACTGGGTTGGAGTTGCACCGGCAAACAGGGGGATATGATCATAATTTTCTCCTGGAATAAGCGGGCCTGAGGAGAAAGGGTGGCTGGTTGATCTTCTGTCATCCTTTTTCATCCCATGGAGCCTTCATTAGTCACGACCCAGAATGATTTCAGATCTCTTACTTCGTTCAGTTGGCGTGATCTGACTGGATTTGCTGTTCCAATGTTTCTTTAGGATTAGAATAAATAACCGGTCAGGCCAGAATGTTTCGATAACTCAACATCAACTTAACTTTCATTTACTCAAAAACTAAGAGTCTGTGCGTCAATACCCTCCATTAACTAGCACAGCACAGCACCGCCAGCACAATGGCAGCGAGTCTGAAAGATGTCGAGAAACTCGGGGCCGCCGATGCCTTGACGGATTCACAAACCCCAAGCTCGAGCTCACAAATTAGTAAGGGTCACGAATCATCAGTCGAGGAGCCGCAGAAGGAAGTGAGGACGATCACTGGCTTTAAGGTATGTATCCAACTCCTGAACTACCATGGGGACAGTAGATTCTAACCTACCAACAATAGTGGATCCTAGTTGTAACTGCTATCCTGTCCAGCCATATGCTTTTTGCGCTTGACAATACCATTGTGGCTAACATCCAACCTGTATTTATTCCTGTTCGGTATATCTATCTCTAGTACATCTAACCATTGTGAACTACAGGCTATTCTCAACCAATTCCAAGAAGCCGACCAGATTTCCTGGCTTTCTGTGGGGTATGATTTTGACTGTCCTACAAGATAATTTAGCTAAGCCTTCGCAGATTCTCCCTTACCTCCTCCGCACTGGTGCTGCCTTGGTCTAAGGCCTACGCAACCTACAATGCCAAATGGCTCTATATTGGGGTATGCTAAAGAACGCCTGATTGTAAAGCAGTATCAAAGTTTAAGTGTTGCTAACTCGAGTACTAGTGTGTTATTCTTTTCATGGCAGGCTCGGCTCTTTGTGGTGCTGCCCCAAACATGAACGGGATGATTGTCGGACGAGCCATGGCTGGCGCTGGAGTAAGCTGAAATGCCTGTATAAATGCATAGGCCTCTGGATATTAACTTAATATAGGGAAGTGGTATGTATTTCGGCGTCTTGACCCAGCTGTCTGTGAACACAACCGTATCTGAACGTCCATTCTACATTGGTTTGACGTAAGTAACACTGCGAAATCTCGAGCTCTATATTAATACTCACTGTAATGTTTCTCGTCTAGTGCCGTTTCGTGGGGTATCGGAACTGTCACCGGTCCAG